CTTCCTGCTGCATTGCTACAGTAGCAGAAGACTAGAAACAGACTGCACCTCAGTCAGGAATTAAACACTGTATCTGCACAAAGGAATGCTTTGAAAGTGTTTTTTAAAATAAGAAATGTAGATAGGCAGCCAGGCGCAGTGACTCAGGCCTGTGATCCCAGCACTTTGGGAGGCCAAGGCGAGTGGATCACAAGGTCAGGAGATGGAGAGCATGCTGGCTAACACGGTGAAATCCCATCTCTACTAAAAATACAAAAAATTAGCTGGGTGAGGTGGCGGGCGCCTGTAGTCCCAACTACTTGGGAGGCTGAGGCAGGAGAATGGCATGAACCTGGGTGGTGGAGGTTGCAGTAAGCCAAGATTGCGCCACTGCACTCCAGCCTGGGTGACAGAGCGAGACTCCGTCTCAAAAAAAAAAAAAAAAAAAAAAAAAAAAGTAGATATGTAGATAGGCCTCTCTCTCTGGAACAATCATAGGTAGATACATAAATAGGTATAGTTGATAGATACATAGACGATAGCTAAAGATAGATGATAGATAACAGATATAGTACACAAATAGATTATTGATAATAGGCGAAGATAGGAAGTAGATGATAAATTGTTACATATCTATGTAAGTAGATAATAGATGATACATGATATAGGTAGATAAGATTATAGATGATTGATAAACACATGGATAGATGGTACAAATATAATAGATGACTAATACATAAATGATAGCTACATATAGATGACAGATATAGATAACTGATGCATAGATAGAATGACAATAGAAGATAATGGATTGGTATATAAATGATAAATGTAGATAGATAATATAGTTGATAGATACATACATGATACATAAAACATGACGATAGAGATTGATACATATGCAAGGGGCAGAATAATATGCAATGAATGGCTTTCATTTGATAAATTTATTTTATTTATTGAGACAGTTTTGCTCTTGATGCCCAGGCTGGAGTGCAATGGTGTGATCTCAGCTCACCGCGACCTCTGCCTCCCAGGTTCAAGCAATTCTCCTGCCTCAGCCTCCCGAGAAGACGGGATTTACAGGCATGTACCATCGTACTCAGCTAATTTTATGTTTTTATTAGGGATGGGGTTTCTCCATGTTGGTCAGGCTGGTCTCGAACTCCCAGCCTCAGGTGATCTGCCCGCCTTGGCCTCCCAAAGTGCTGGGATTACAGGCGTGAGCTACCGTGCCCAGCTTGATGAATTGATTTTTAAAACCCACTTGTAGATTCACTGAGTATTTCACGGGATAATGCAGGGAGAGGAATGAGAAATCTGGGAGTTGAGATTTGGTAAGTAATCTCTTCCTCCAAGTATCCATTACTTTTTTAAAAAAATCTTATTTGTGACCAGACATCAATCGCTGATCCAAATACCCCTGGCAGAGTCCCCACCAGCCTGAATGAGGCTGTCCATCCACAGTCTACTTACTGTCATGGCTAGTGGCCACCCCACTTCACAAGCATCCCATAAGGTACAGACAGACGGATATGAATGTTGGCATTAGATTCTATTAAGCTCTGCTACTTAGCTGTGAGAGCCTGGAGAAACATTTAACCTCCCCAAAGCCTCTGTTCCCTTATATGTAAAATGGGAACAATACCCTCTTCGAAGTGGTCGGGAGGCTTTAAAAGGGAATGCGGATGGATTAAACTGGGCTCCATCATTCGAGACCCAGCTGGGGGGCGGGGGAGGGGGAAATGGGGGGATTCTCTGTCCATGGTGCTGAAAGACCGGCACCAGAAGATAGGGAATTTCTGGGTAGACTTGTCCATCAAGGCAGGAGAGGAGGCAAAATCAGTGGTGCCAGAGGCAACTCCGTCCCCACCCACAGCCTCTTTGAGCGGTAGATATGAGGATGGGTGGATATATACCAGACACACACATACATACCCACATGCACACATACATATGCACAAAGATACAGACACACCATCCACACGGAGACATACAGACAAGCACTCATACATGCAGAGAGAGACACACACAATTCACATGCATGCAATTCTCTAAGGATGGCCTGGAGAACACCAGCCCCAGGATGCTCTATAAATGGAAAGTTTTCTGACAGAACAAGTTCAGAAAATGCTGCATGTTATCACCTACCCCTGCCCTGGCCCCCAGCCCCACCCAGTTATACAGAATCATAGTGAAAAGCTCTGGGTCGGGTGGGTGTGGGGGGCTAGTTTTATAATTCATCCAGTCAACTGAATCGTGGCTCAGCACCTTCCACCTACCAAGTACTGTTATGTGTATGAGAAAACTTCAATCCGGCGGGGCGCAGTGGCTCCCAGCACTTTGGGAGGCCGAGGTGGGTGGACTACCTGAGGGCCAGGAGTTCAAGATAAGCCTGACCAACATGGTGAAACCCCATCTCTACTAAAAATACAAAAATGAGCCAGGTGTGGTGGTGGGCGCCTATAATCCCAGCTACTTGGGAGGCTGAGACAGAATTGCTTGAACCCAGGAGGTAGACGTTGCAGTGAGTCAAGATCATACCACTGCACTCCAGCCTGGGTGACAAGAGTGAAACTCCGTCTCAAAAAAAAAAAAAAAAAGAACTTGAATCCAGTCTTTTCTCAGGTTGTTTGAACACAAGATCCTGTTTTCTCCAAACATCTTGTCAATATTCCCTGGAACACTCTCCAGGCTACCCTTAGGGAAACGGGGATATACGGAGTAAACATTTCCAGATAAACTCTGCCTTCAGGCTGGGGAGTAAGCTGGGTGGAGGGTCCCTTTCCACTCACCTGTCTGGCCCCCACTCCCCTGGAATTGCCTGTCACACCTGCTCCATGCCCAGGACTCTTCCAATTCCTGCCTCCTGGGAGTCTTTGTCCCTTCAGCCCTTAGCTGTGTGTGTCCCCTCCCAGCCCCCATGACAGCAGAGATTGTGCCTGTTGAGGTCACTGCTGTGCCCCCATGCTTAGTAGAGTCCCTCGAAGGAGAGAAGTACCCGAGAAACATCTAAGATTAAGTGGAGCATCAACTCAGCAGGGGCCGGGGTGGGGGGCATGGGTGTCGGGACTTTAGATCCAGATTCAGGTTCTATCACTTTACAAACCAGTAGCCTGGGCAGACTGCTTCCTCTCCTTACACCAGCTTCAGCAGCCGAGGAATGAGGCCGACCACACAGGGCCTTTGGGAGGACTGGACTCCGTAAGGGGCGTGAATGAGTCTGCGCGTGCCCTCCACCAAAGTGAGCAGGAGAGGAGTGGGGGCCAAAGGAACTTCTGTGGTCACTGCCACGGTGGATTCGTGACATGAAGCGGCTGCCCAGCCTCACCTTGCCGTGGGTGAGCAGCTCCAATGCAGGTGCGCTACAGGGCTGACGCAAGTGCCACGGGAACGCGCATTCCTTTAACCTGAGACCCGTGCCACGCTCACTGGGCACGGAGCTGCTACCCTGAACACATTTGTGGAATGAGTGAGTGAGGGGTGGGCGATGACTACCTGAGTGCATGAACTGGTGACGGCCGGCGTATGACACCAAAGCACAGGTCCAGTGCTGGGTCCGGTGCAGTCTGGTGTCATGGCGGTCATGTGAGCTCGCTGAGTTCTGTATTATAAAGGGATGAGTAGTGCAGAGCTGGGATTGGAGCCTGGCTCCTCGCCCCTGCATCTCTGCTCATGCCCGGGAGGGCAGCTCTAGTGAGTTAACACATAGCTTGGGGATCCCCCCTCCACAAACAGTCACTCAAGGCAGGCAAGCTCTTCTTTCCGCAGGGCAAGGAAGCCAAGGGTCAGAGAGGTTAGTCCACTTGCCCAGGGTCACACAGCCATAAGAGGCAGGGTGGAAACTGGCCCTGAATCTTTCTTGCTCTAGGTGTCAGCTCCTGCCACCATATCCTGGGGCAGGTAGAGGAGGCGGCTGGCCCAAGACTCAGTGTGCCCAACTTAACAAGGCACCGCGCTGCCAGTTCTACTAGACAGGGCATCTCCCATCCTCCCAGGCCTCGAGAAGTGCCCAAGGCCAGAACTCCACAGAAGGGACCCTAGGAGCACTGAGCAATGTTTCCTCAGTCTTTGCTAACCCAGCCCTCTCTGAACCACCAAGGTTCACCCCCTCCCTTTGAGTGACCTGAAATTTCAAAATAAACTGACATGCAATACCAATTACCTAAGCAAGGCAGTGTGGCCACTTGAGAACATGCTTTTCTCACCCACGACCCCTCCGTGGTCCTCTAACAAATCTTCCAGGATCTGTACACCATCAGCGGCCCTGGTTTCTAAGCCCCTATCCTCCAGGTGAGGCCCCAGGACCCTGCTCAAGCACATCAGGGTGTGAAAGAGCTCTAACTGGAAATCCACATTTCTCCTTCGAGTCCCCCTCTGCTATGAAACCCCCAAGTCAAAGACGCCTGCAGCTTGCCGCCTCCAATCGCTCCTGAGTAATTGCAGCCTTCAGCCAGGTTGAAAATACCCCGTTGGGACCCTCCCTGTGGCCTCCCAAGCCCCCAGGAACATGGGTCCTCAGGACTGGCGCTGTGGGTCTGGGAAACCAGTCGCCATGGTAGAGCCCCCTTCTGATAATGAACAGCAGCGCTCATCTGGCAGGGCGGCTGCGGCTGCAGCGGCTCTATGCAACCAAGTCCGTCAGGCCGGCGCGCTGTCTGAATTGCCTTAAGCGCTCAGCTGGACTGTGGCATCCCTGCCCTCTCCCCCAGCCACTTTTGGGGTCAGCGGCGGGAGCCACACGATAGAAGTGGAGGAAGCCAGCTGCCCCTGTGCGAGGGCAGCTGAGGCCGCGGGGCTCCTTCCACTGTAGTGGGCAGGCCTGGCCCCGACCAGTCCGCCCTGCCCCATCTACAAGGGCTCCCAGGCCCTGTGAGCGCACGCACTGCAGTGAGGAGATCTCGGGACACGTCGCCCTGCCTAGGGCCCTCCACGGGCGCAGCTGACACACTGCTGCCCCAGCTGAAGCCTCTGCTTACCCCTCCTGCCCTTTTCCCGGACTCAAGAACCACGCAGAGAGGGACATTTGGATAGTGCCATTTATTGTTCTAGCACCCCTTCCTCCACCACGCCCAGGCCTGGGACAAACGGGCACCCGCGTCCTGTGGGGCTCTGCTGGGCACAGGGGCCGGCTCTGCTACCCGGAATCCAGGAGGGGAAGGAACGACTCGAGCTCTAAGAAAGGACGGGACCCGGAAGGCGGAAGAAGGCGGAAAAAAAAAAAATGGATTGGGGTGGGCGGGGAGAGTCAAAAGGTGGGCTGAATAAAAGAAAATTCTAAAAGAGAAAAGGGCCCCTATTTCCCTTCCCTCTCTGGGACCCTCTAAACGCAAAGGGCCTGGTTTCTCCATTCCCCCACCCAGGACAACTGAGGAAGAGGAGGGAAAATGGCCTTCCACTTGAGGCCTGGTAGCCGCTCGGCCTCTACAGTTCTCTCCATTGTCTGTCTCCGGCTCGCAGGCCGAGAACCTAGGAAGGGCGGGCCAGGCTGAGGGGGGCAGAGTCGAGGCGGAGAAGTGAACTGGCCCTAATGCCCCCCAGTGCCCCACGTGGACGGCACGGGGACAGAGGAGGGCGTGGAGGTCGGGATGCCGCGGGGTCCATCGCACCCCATCCGCTTCTCCCTGGGTCTCTTGCACATGGTCGTTCCCGCCAAGCCCGGGGGGCCCCGCCCCCCCCCCGGGCCCCTCCCCTACCGGCCCTCCCCAGCGCGGCACTCGGGGCACCGCCCGCCCGCGGCCTCGTCGTCGTCGTCGTCCTCCTCCCCCCCGGCCCGGTAGTAGCTCTGTCCGCAGCTGCTGCAGACCGAGGGCGCGCCCACGGCATGGATCTTCTTGTGTCTCCGGAGCGCGGCGCCCTGCACGAAGCCCTCCCCGCACTCCACGCAGATGTGGGCCGGCTCCTCGCCCCCCGCCGCCCCGAGCCCGTCCCCGTGCTGGGCCCGCTGGTGCGCCAGGAGCCCGGCCCCGTGCCCGAAGCCCTTCCCGCACTCCAGACACACGTACGGCTTAGGGGCCGGGGCGCGCCGCGACCGGGGCCCCGCGGCCTTGGCCCCTGCTCCCGCCATGGCTGCCGCGGCCGCCGCCCCCTCGCCCGGCGCGCCCACCACGATGATGCCCTCGCCGTCGCCCACCGGGATGGCGATCTCGCCGTCCGCCGCCACCGCTTCTTCGGGCCCCTTGGCCCGCCGGACGCTGGCCGCCAGCACCTTGGCCGCCACGCCGGGCCCCGACAGCTCCGGGTGCAGCCGCAGGTGACGCGCGAGGCTCTTAGGCTGGCTGAAGCCGCGGCCGCAGCGCGGGCACACGAAGGGCTTGAGGCCGCTGTGCGAGCGCCGGTGCTTGGCCAGGCTCTTGCTCTGCGTGAAGCTGCGGCCGCAGTCGGGGCAGGTGTAGGGCTTCTCGCCCGTGTGGATGCGCTGGTGCTGCATGAGGTTGGAGCTCCAGCTGAAGCGCTTGCCGCACTCCAGGCAGGCGTAGGGCTTCTCGCCCGTGTGGATGCGCCGGTGTTGCACCAGGTGTGAGCTCTGCGAGAAGGTCTTGCCGCAGTCGGCGCAGGCGTTGGGCCGCTCGCCGGTGTGCGTGCGCTGGTGCCGCGTCAGCTTGGACCAGTGGCTAAAGCTCTTGCCACACTCGTTGCAGATGTAGGGGGCGGGCGGCCGCGGCCGGGGAGGGGGGCCGGCTGGGGGCGCAGACTGGGGCGGGGACAGCTTGGTGGGAGGCCAGCTGGGGACGTCGTCGTCATCCATGATAAGGATGTCCACTGGAAGGCAAAAGGGTAGGGGGACGTGAGTCAGAGAGGCAAGGTCTCCACTCCTGCCTCCGCTGCTACGCTGGCCTCCAGTGCTTCGCTCACCAGGGAGCCTTTCCAGGCTCCCCCTGGCGCGGGACCTGCCCTGGTGTCCTTAGAGCGCGCATCATTCCCTGCATGTTACTAAGTATTTAGTACCGTCTCCCCAGCTGAGACCTCAGCTCTGTGAGAGTTAAGACCCTCGGTTTACCCCCAACCTCCAGAACAATGACCGCAGACACAGAAAGTCTGATCTGTAAACAACCAGTCAACATAAGAGGCATGGGGGAGAGGCGGGATCCACGGAAGGCTCCCAGCAAAGGACCCCTGAAGCCCAAAACACCAGCCCGGACGCCGAGGACAGAGCATGAGGAAGGCCCACAGGCAAAGGCTCCACTGGGCAGAGAGGCCGCAGGGCTGGGATGCAGCCCTGGACACCTGGACCTGAGCCAGGGAGTGGGTTTGGCACCCTGAAGACATGCCTGCCAGGGAGTGATGTGCCACATTCGGGCTCCAGGAGGACAATGCTGGCTGCAGACGGGGGAGCAGACAGGTAATGGGATTGCAGAGGAGCATGAAGCCCCGCCTCCCAACCTGGAAGCAAAACCTGGCTCAACCTGGCCTCCATTACAGAGGCTCTCGCCAGCCTCTGGGTGTGGGGGCTCCTATCTGCTCAGTGAGGACAATTCGGGCACACAGGGCTTTGCCTGCTCATCTTTACACTGAGGACACCCTTCCAGCAGCCAACGAGGCCGTTCACACATCTGCACCAGGCCTGCCCTGGGGGATCTCCCAGGAGGGATGGGCTTGCCGCCTCCCCAGCTCATGCACTCCTGAGAAGGGTCCGTGTGCAGCTTCTACCTTTGCTCTCCCTTGGGGCCTGGTCCAGAGCAACAGAATCAGGTGGGAAGGCCTCAGCAGGTGCATCTCTGACCCCCGTGAACACCCCAGGTGCACCCCACAGGGTTTTTTCAAAGCGTGAATCACAATTACAACTTTCTCACTCCTGACCTTACTAGACTGTAAGCTCCTAAGTCTCTATCCCAACACCTGGCATGGTGCCCAGCACAGAGCCCAAACGCCATCCCAGATGCCATGCTGGCACACACGCAAGGAAGGGCCATGATGCCCCCCTGCGCTACACACTTCACCGTCAGGTCCTCATAAGGTGGGAACACGAAACTGAGCCTTTACAAGGGAGAAACTGAGGCACTAGGGAGTCGAGTCACGGCCCACAGCTACACAATTGCAAAGTGGCAATGCCCAGAAGCACATTAGTAGTCTGGGTCCAACAAACAGCCATCTACTGATAACTGCAGCTGCCCACCTCTAAATCTCCCACCCCACATGCAGCACATCCTACATGCTAAGGGAGTGCTCCACAAAGGGGGATCCTGCGACCAGTAGCATCGGCACCACAGAGAACATATTAAAAACATTTATGCACAGCCGGGAGCAGTGGCTCACGCCTGTAATCCCAGCACTTTGGGAGGCCAACGCGGGCAGATCACTTTAGGTCAGGAGTTCAAGACTAAACTGGCCAACATGGCGAAACCCCGTCTCTATTAAAAATACAAAAATTAGCCGGGCATGATGGCGCATGCCTTTAGTTCCAGCTACTTGGAAGGCTGAGGCAGGAGAATGGCTTGAACCTGAGAGGCAGAGGTTGCAGTGAGCCGAGATCACGCCACTGCACTCCAGCCTGGGCAACAGAGAGAGACTCCATCTAAAAACAAAGCAAAACAAAAATGCTATGCTCAGGCCTCCCTCCAGACCCACTATATGAGAAAGTCCTGGGCCTGGGCCTGTGCTTCAGCAAGCCCTCCAGGTGATTCTCATGCCAGCTCCAGTGTGAGAACCACTATTCCAAGGCAGAGTATTTGAATATGGCTCTTGAATCACCTGCGGCAGAAGAAAAAACTCCAGGTGAAGTCAGGAAGGGGGGAACCTTTTGGAGAGATGGCATGGAGCCCACTGCATTGTCAACATAAATTTTAAAATGTTGTAAGTTATAAGCTGATTACTTAAAGATATAGAGAGAATTTAAAACAAATGTCAAAGCTATTTGCCTCGAGGCGGTGTGACTGAAGGGGACAGAAAGGGACGGATAGGAAAGAGATTTGCTTGTCACCATAAACTGAGCCGTACTATCTGAACCTTACAAGTGCTTCTCCCCCTTTAATTCAAATAACTTTGTTTCCGAGGTTGTGAAGAAATAAAGTATAGCAATGCTCCCTGTGACTCAGCTATGAACAGCATTTACAGTCATGACGACATGAATTCTGAACACAAAACTTGTGACACAGTGGCAGCTAAGATGCAGCACTGGGGCGGGCATGCAGTGCGCAAAGAGTGGGGACAGGATGTGGGAGCCATGTCCTCAACTCCCATTAGATTTGCAACTAGCAAAGCAATTGCGTGAGCTCTTTACCTAGAACCAGGGAGATCCCCAAAGAGTGCATGGAGGCGCTCCTTCCTCTAGAGGCAAACTGGGAGTGGGGGAGGGCAGGAGGTGGGAGCTGTTTTCCCCCCGTAGGCGATTTGGCTTTTCTACAGGCATCTCTGCACTACTTTTTCTAAGTATGAGTTAAGCACTGTTAAATGGACAGGGTTTAATTACTTAAAAAGCAGGGCTCTTTTACATCTTGCAGATTCCTGGGCTCTGTGCAAACATTCCCGTGCTGCATCTCAGTAAGGCCCAGGAAACTGCGCTTCACAGGCACACACTGGTTCTCACAAGACTTTCTGTCTGCACCACGCATGGGCCAAGATGGGCCCCTCCGCTTGCTGCAGCCGCAGCCGGAGCCGGAGCCGAAGCGGAAGCCGAAGCCAAAGCTGAAGCCGAAGCCAAAGCCGAAACTGACGCCAAAGCCGAAGCCTCACCCTCGCAGGAGCGATGAGGCTAACAGTTTTCTCCACCTCACAGCACCATCTTTAAAGGGATTCAGCGAATTCCCAGAAAGAGAAGAGCACAGTGAGCAGCACAAGGGTTCTCATCCAATTAAGAAAGTAAGAAACAATGAGGGCCGAGGCCACTCTGATGGTGGCAGCAGTTACCCTTGGGGGAGGGCAGTGTCCCCAGACGCCTGGCCCTGGGCTAAATGTGTTCTGTGGATTACCACATTTAATCCACGGCCAACACTATCACTGTCCTTCTCTAACTGAAGAACTCGGCCGAGGCCCCCAGGGCATGGGGGCGGCGGCAACCAACCCCTACGCCCCAGGCTCTAACCCTACGCCTCCTGCCCCATCTGCAGCACCACTACTCCAGGGAGTCCAGGTTTCTCTCCACCGGAGATAATGTTTCTAGAGCAAAATCTGGAAATGCTCTTTTTTTTTTTTTAAGATAAAATTCCTGAGTTCACGCTGATACTTCCCATAAAAATTCAGGACTACGGTGTTTAAAAGCATTTAGCCTTTTCTTTGTGACATGTGCCCCCCCCTTCTGCCCCACGGAGAATCCTGGTTCTCAAGGACATAGGGGATGACAGAACTGGAATATCCCACAGACACAGGGGATGGCGGAACTGGGATACCCCACAGACCTAGGGGATGACGGAAGTGGAATACTCCATAGACCCAGGGGATGGCAGAAGTGGGATATTCCATAGACACGGGATGACAGAACTGGAATATCCTATAGACACGGGATGACGCAACTGGGATACCCCATAGACACGGGGTGGCGGAAGTGGGATCCCCATAGGCACGGGATGGCGGAACTGGGATACCCCATAGACACGGGGTGGCGGAAGTGGGATACTCCATAGACACGGGGTGGTGGAAGTGGGATACTCCACACAGCAGGTGGTGGAAGTGGGATATTCCACAGACACCGGGGACAGCAGAAGTGGGATATTCCATAGACACAGGGGACACCGGAAGTGGGATACCCCATAGACACGGGATGGCAGAACTGGGATACCCCATAGACACGGGGTGGCGGAAGTGGGTTATTCCACAGACACAGGTGGCGGCGGAAGTGGGATATTCCATAGACACAGGAGATGGCGGCAGTGAGATATTCCACAGACACAGGGGATGGCGGAAGTGGGATAGTCCATAGACACAGGGGATGGCGGAAGTGGAATATTCCATAGGCGCAGGAGATGGTGGAACTGGAATACCCTACATTGTGACCCTCTTGCTGGCTGCACACGCGATCTCAGGGTAACAATGCTACTGCTACCACTGCCAGGCACGGCTCCTGGACTGTGCTGCACGAACCGTCCTCCCCGTTTTCTCGGCTGCATCCCCTCCGTCAGGTGCAGATCTTGGCCGACTGAGACATGTTCCGTGCTCAGTGAGACTGACCTGCTCACACCCTCCTCCCAGCCCTCCTCTCTCTGGTCAGTTGTCTAAGGCTCATTCGCTTTTAGGTTCCTCAGGAAGGGCACAGAGGAATGGGGTTCACCAGGCTCTTGCTGGGTAGCCTGTCTGTGCCCTTCCCATCTGAAGGTCCCTTTTCCGTGAGTCATAATGCCATTTTCTCCTGGCATAAAGTGCTAAGTCTGAGTATAGTCATGTTGACTTTCCAAGTCATCCACGCTTTCTGCCAGGAAGGATCGGTGACTTCCTTTGGGGTCCAGCGATTCTAACGCAACCAACTGTGATTTGCTCTTTCAGTGCGCAGCTTCCATGCGTTAAGGGGTGTTTCCTTGGCCAGGCGCGGTGGCTCAAGCCTGTATTCCCAGCACTTTGGGAGGCGGAGACGGGCGGATCACGAGGTCAGGAGATCGAGACCATCCTGGCTAACATGGTGAAACCCCGTCTCTACTAAAAAAATACAAAAAATTAGCTGGGCATGGTGGCGGGCGTCTGTGGTCCCAGCTACTCGGGAGGCTGAGGCAGGAGAATGGCGTAGACCCAGGAGGCGGAGCTTGCAGTGAGCTGAGATCCGGCCACTGCACTCCAGCCTGGGCAACAGAGCGAGACTCAATCTCAAAAAAAAGCCACAGAAAGAGTTTGCTGAA